GTAAGGTGGGGACTTTGTTTTTATTATTTTTTAAAAAATATAAAATACTATCAGTATAACCAACCAATAAATTTTGAGTCAATTTATAATTTATATATGAATCTTTAAAATTTAGATATAATTAATTATAATAATTTATTTTACTAAATAATTTAAAAAATAATCAAGAAAAATATATTTTCTAATGCATCAATAAAAATACCGGATAAAAAAATATATTTACTGGAAAATCATTGAAATACTGAAAATTTTATACAGAAATGAACCCCAAGAGACTGATATATTATTAAATTTATACTAGTAAAATTAAAATTTTGCTATTTATACTGATAAATATTTTCAAAAATACTGCTAATTTCGAATAAACAGCCTTTGTTTTTTAGGACATTTTCATTTTTTTATGCTTCAGATCCCCTTTCATCTCCAAAAATTGTTCCTTAATTATGCCACTGCCGCTCTTATAGCTTATAGTTTAAAAGTAGATCCTAAGTTTTTTTTGCAAAGGAGTGTTTCTTCTTAATACATAATTGCTTTACAAAATTGAAAGTAAAAAATAAATATTCGACATAGTAACAGCGGATATAAATTGTTTTTAATTTTATTTTAGTCCTCTGAGAAGTTTTATGAAAATTTACTACATTTCAAGATTGTGATTCTACTTTACATCTTATTTTCATTTGTTCGTGTCTTTGAGAAGTTAAAATTTTAATTTGACATTAGTTAGCGAGTGGAATCGTCCAGGAAAATATATTTCGGTCTCGTAAATAAAGAGCAAAAATAATATAGACATTAGTTTCTAAAAATCTGGTATTCAACAGACCAAAAATGCATCCAGAATATACATATATAATTTCTTGGGGGGGGGGGGGGTGATGTGGATGATAAAATGACCAAATATCTTTATATTTTAGAAAAAGATAATTTTAATTCCAAAAAAAGATAAAAATTATGTTTTTACAAATTAAATTCCTTAAAATATTGTTCCTTTTTTTAAAATTGATTAGATTTATTCAAATAATCTTTTAAAAATTTGTTTAACGTTTTTTTAAAAAAAGGTTTATAATCAGATTCCTATATAATGGATAAGAAATAGAACAAAACAAATAAACAACAGAATAACAGTTTAGTTAAACTTAAGATATTTTTAGATTTTATAATAATATTTACAAAAGTTGATAAATAGGATAGGTAGGAACTAAATATTTTCGCAATTATAATGATACCTTTTCAATTTAGTAACTATAAATAATGAACATGCTTATCATAAGCATAATCGTGTATTCCCCAAGGGAACACCTTAGAATGTCCTTTTGCATACACATTATGGATATTTTTTTAAAAAAGCATTTGACTTTACTCTTTTTTTTTCTACGCTAAAAAATTTCAATTATAGCCATTTAAAAAAATATATAACTTATAATGACAAGTTGTATTCAATTTGTAGGAAGAGGAGGGTAGAATAGGGGGTTTAAGAAAATTTTTAGTAGCTAAAAATAATAATTAACTTTTCTACCTCAACTTTTATCTGAACAAGTCTCATATTATTATCAAACAGGCTTATAGGAAACGCCTCCCCCCCCCTTCCTTCTCTCCCAATAAGTCCAGATGCCAGGCTAATGTAGATGCCGAATTTCATAAATCATATGTCAATGATGAGTCAAAAGCAGAGACGAATTTAATATTTGTTTATTTCGACTTACAGCAAGGCACGCCCATCTTTCCAATATTGATATAGGGTTAGTCTAAGAAATTAATCTTTTTATCTCCCTCTTGGGTAGTTTTATAGCTCAAATGAATAAAAGGTTCTTGATTAATATATCAGCATTATAGTTGGGTAATAGCTAAATATCAGCTTATTGGGCTCAATCTAAATGCGCGTGCTAAAGAAAATTCGTTAATATTAAGGCGTTTTAATTTATATTAGATTTTTCCAAATTTGAGCTGCTATATTTTTAAGAAAAATGCCGAGGGACAAAGTGATGATTTATGGCTAAAAACTCGATTTAGCCGACTTTTTAGCTGGCTAAAATTTAGCTTAAAAGGCTAAAAATATAGTAATTACCCAGGTATGCACTTGCAAATCCGCAAATATTAATACCTGAGAATCCTTCCGAATCTATTTCAATTCTTCTTAGAGAAAAAATTAAATATTTAGCAGTGGGTATGTTAAAGTATTTCATGATGCATTCCTAGAATGCAAAATAAGAGACTAAATGATTGATAATGTTCTAAAAAAATGCTATGATGCTTCGCATATAAAATAAAAAAAAATTTCTTAAAAAAAAATAAAAACATACATGGTAAATGGCTTGATGAACTGATTTTTAAAAACGCTAACATAATATTTTAACCATGAAAAAATTGCCCAAGTCTCGAGATTTCGCTAATAGATATTCAAACCTTTTTGCCATCTATGAGCATAATTTTCAGTTGTCTAATATTTTTATGGATCAAATATTGAGTTAACCGTTTTTAAAAATCGGATCGAATCGAGACGTTTAACAACATTACTGAGAAGTACTACCTATGAAATTCGATTGAATGGGTGTTAGTCCTTTTAATATACATAGGGAGTTGACACCAAGGACTGATGGAATCATTGAAAATTAGCTCAATCCCAAAAAAGAATGAATTACATTATAAATATATAATATCTTCTTAGTAATATTTTTTCTCATTACACTTTATTTTTTTCTATGAATACTTTGTAAGTTTATATACATGCAATAGTTCTTAAGAATATTTGTATGCATTAATCTATATTTTCAAAATAAAGTTCTTTTTCGAGACCTTTATTTTATAATTGAATTTGTGTATTAAATATAATAGTTTTTAATTGATTTATGAAAATTATTATATTTTTAAATAACTCCTAGAATAATTTTTGAAAAAATAGAATTACCCCCCCCCCCCCTCCAAAGCTACTTTCTACTTTCTGAGAAAAGATCTTATAATTTTTTACAAATGTCATGTCTAATAGCATGCCTATTTTGGTGGCATAATACAGAAAGAAGATTGCTCATCCCATTCTTACTAGTTTGGTGGCTTAAACTGCCACTCGAAAGCAACGGGTTTCGATTCAATGCATAGCTTTGAAATATTCACCTAAACCTTTTTTGATTTAATTTTTTTTTTTAAAAAACCTCTGGCCGTGTTCTAGGCCGGCTTAATTTGGATAACTAATTGCTTTTTACTATAAACAAAAAAAATTCGAGGAAACCCTATTTTGGTTTACTTAAGTATTTGGTACATTGCTAATTATTCATATTTTATTCTCGTTGTTTTTTTTTGGTTGGCATTATTCATAAATATATGAAACTATACGTAAATGTTAAAGCTTATTTATAAATATAAAATTATTTGTAAAACATGTTCCTTAAGGAATATATATTTAACTTTATTTCTACATCTTAAATTTTAATAATCTAATTATTCCAAAGTTTGAAAAATAAATCTTTTGAGCAAAAACTTTGTGGATTTTTTAAGAAGAAAGATTTTTGATCAAATTTTACCTAAAATTTCATGTTTATTTAAAAAATCTTCTAAAAGTAAACCTCTATAATTTTCATAAACAAGAAATCTTTATAGATGAAATCGCAATTAAACAAAAATATTCAAAGATTCATTCAAAATATTTTTATGATTCTTTCATACTCTGATTTTTTCATTTTGAAAATATTTTTAAGGAATTTAATTTCTAGGCGAATAATAGATAAATCAGATCGAATAATGTTTTTATTATTCGTACGAATACAATAAGGAATTATTCGATTAGAAAATACGAATCGAATATGAATAATACAAATATTCTATGATAAAAAATAGCCAAAATAATGTTGCTAAATAAATATGTATTGTAAATCCCAATGCGTCACTAACTATGTGCGTTAAGTTGAATAAAACTATTTTATACCTATGTAAAATTTTACACAAAATGATTCCACTAAAAAAAATCTACAAGAAAATCACCAAAGTTTTTAACAATAAAAAAAAAATCCCTTATCCCTCAGTTCAATTTGAACATATTATATTCAATGTAAAAATTAATAAGAATGTATAAAAATGTTTTTTTAACAATTTTTAAATAATTTTATTTTCATATAGATTAAAAAATATGGAAATATTTTAAAACAAATCTGCAGTTGCATTGTATATACTAGAGTAGTTATATTTTAATATTAAATCATCACATTATTATTGATTGAATTGACAACCCTTTTGTTTATATATTTTCTTTTTACTTAAAACTTTTCTTAGTTTAAAAAAAACAAATATTTGATTAAATTAGATATTTTGGTTTAGTGGTAGTTTGAAAGATGTGTTCAATATTATTTCATTCACTTTTTCCCATTTATCGATATCGGGGGAAAAAAACAAAAATTAAAATTATGTCAAAAAAGAAATAGAAAGAAGATAGAAGAAAATAATGAAAGACATTCGATTAAGATTTTTGCCAAAATAATATTAGGAGATTCTGATAATAGATGGCATAAAGGTTTGAATCTCTATTTGCCAAATCTCGAGGCTTACATATTATTTTAGCTGAAATTCTAATCGAATCATTTTTTAAAATCGACCTGATTTGGGCTTTTTAACAAACCTAGGAGGGAGTTAGATACCGAGCGAAAAGTTCGACGAAATTTTTAATAAACTCATCATTCTAAAAACAGATGTTTTCTGTGCAACGCAAAAAGAAAAACTTTAAAATAAAATATTTTTTTGCTATTTTCTTTTATTATTTTACTTTAACATTTTTTTTTATTTGTTTGAAGTTTATTTACTATTTATTAATTATTATTTTTTTCATAATATTTATTTATTTCTTTATATTAATCTTTTTCGCACGTTTAATAAATATTTATGATTTAAAAAAATTTATTTGATTTTATTTGATTATATTATCTTATTTTAACAAATAAATACAATATCATTTCAAAAAGATTTCATTAGCAAAATATACCACCTCTAAATTATTCAATTTTAAAACATTAGCTGCAAAATATCATAATTATAAATATCCTAGAAAATGATCACATTATTATAATATGAATATTCTAGAATATTTATTATTGGAATTGGCTTAACAATGCATCATAAAATTCTTAAAATATTTTATCCTTTCACGGGAAAGCGAAGATTGCGATTCTCGGATTTTGTAAGGCATTTTCTATAAAAATAAATATTAAAAATACACTAAAATAAGTATTGTTGCTAAACATTTCGATTTAGGTCGATATTTAAAAACGGCCCTAAGATTTTTATCCAAAATAATATTATGCAAGCCTGGAGATTTAGCTCATAGATGGAAGAAAGGTTTGGACCACCTTTAGTTGCCAAATCTCAAGGAGCTTAACATATTATTTTTGGTTAAATGTTAATGAGGCCTTCAACACAATGTCCTGGTTAGCTAAGGACTTTTACCACGATAAGAGGGAGAGGGCTTATGATGAAAGAAAATCGTTGAAATTGAATGGGAATAATTTTGATATTCATTTTTTTCCTAATTTTGATTTTGGAAGAGGTAATATCGTCAGCGGCTGATGCAGGTGTGTCTAAATTTAGTAGCAAACTTAAATTTACGCTGTGTCTAAGGCTATTAACAATTTCTAAAGTAACCATTTGTGCTTATAGAGTTCTCTATACCACCAACCCCCCCCCCCCCCCCAACCAATTAAATATTTAGGCAGTCTAACTCTTAGCCCCCGCCCCCATCAATCAACTGAATTACTACCCAAAATTAAAAACCTCTACCCCCCGCATTCACTTGTAAGACATCGTTTATAGTTAACGGATCGGTCAAGTAATGTATTATGTACAAAATGCATAATGTTTAATTATGCGACTATGCTTCGTTTAGCGATATATTACACATCACTTGAGCAACATCGCGGTATTTAACGTATGCTATAAACAAGGCCTAAAAGAAGAGAACTCCTTGTTTCAATATAAATTCATCAAAAATAGGCCCTTTAAATCAATCATACAAGAACAGCTTTTTAAAATAAATAAATATATAGTCCTTTTTACCTTCTTCGCTCGTGATACCCCTTAGTAACTTTTCAATAATAATTTTTAAAGAAGTAATTGCCATAATTGAATTTAGTCTATTTGATAAATGCAATTTGCATATCCCAAAAAAAACATATTTTGTTGATCTAGATAATTTTTTTTCCTAGAATTAGAGAGCATAAAAAGATAAAGATTAATTTATAAATATGTATGTAAATTTTTCAGCATTCCTTTTAACCCTTTATTTTTTTAAAAATAATTAATAATGAAACGAAAAAATTAGAACATTTTTATCATGAAAGTGAAGCCTTCAATAGAGTTAAACCCTTCTGAATCGGTAGAATTACAGTGCCAATTTATATATCCATTTTCTCAGGATATATATTCTTTTATATAGACCACCTTTTTTATGAGATGCCGATATACACGGAAAAAGGGTATTTTTTTTAAAACACATGTTATTTTATAATAAAATGATACTAAAATTTTTGATAAAATAAGTTGAAGCTACTTTAACTCACAAAGTAGTGTTGTTAAAAAGCACCATTTGGGTCGATTTTTTACTGCCCGATTAAAATTTTAGCCAAAATATTATTATGTAACCACGAGATTTGACAAATATAGGTCCAAACCTTTGCCATTTATGAGCAAAATTTCCAGGCTTATATAATAATATTTTCGCAAGAATCTTAATCGCGCCGTTTTTAAAGTTCAACCCAAATCGGGTTTTTAGCAATACTATCACAAAGTTAATAGTGAAAATAATAAAAAATTTAAAAAGTATGTTTGTATTTTAAAGATCGTAATAAATACAAAATACTAAAATAACACGAAATTATTTAATTAAATACCAAAATCAAGTATTCGCGATCCAACCCGGATTGTATACCAATTTCATGCAAAATAACATGTTTTGAAAAATACCCTTATTCATGATATAAATCCGCCATTGAGTGCTCACTTTATTTATAGAATTTTATAATCTATAATTATAAACAACTTTATAATCAATATCAATATATGGTCTAATAAATGATTAAAATCGAAACCAAATCTTATTATAGTTCTTCAGTTCCTATATTTGAATAATTTTTTTTTAATTAAGATAATTTATTATATTTTGCTCTAATCGAAAAGTGCCTCAAAAAACCAGGGATGTGAACCCTTCTACAAAAAAACGGGGTTCGGGTTCAGGGTTTGAATTTGAAAAAATATTGACTCAAAGCAACACAATATGTTTTTCATATTTATTTAATATTCTATATAATTATAAATATTAATTTACAAGGAAAAAATTAAAAAAGTAATTTATATTTAAAATTTTTCATTTAATCGCACAATAATAACATTTTCTAAAATATCATCTTTGAGAATTCCACACAAATTTGACAATATATATTTCAAAGAAAAATCGATAGCTATCTTTATAATACGCGTTGGAAGGTCTTCCGGTTTTCTTAGTATTATCCTTTCCCGCTAGCATCAACCCTTTTGCTATCTCCGATTTAAATGAAACAGTCATAAATTTTATATTATTGGGGGCTATAAAAATCCAATAAATGGAAAACCATTCTCATATAATATCGTTTCCATTTAATATCTGTTTAATATAACTCCATCAGCATATTATGAAGATCTACACCACCCATTTCCTCATTATGAAGAACGATATCTCCACTAATACCTAAACATATTTTATGACATTGGTAGACTTTCCATGGTATATTTCAATCATATATAAACCCGTAAGAGCCACATAGGGCAAACACTTTTATACCCTATTTATGGGCTTCGATTTAATATATTGTCGTAATTTAGAGCGTCCTTTGAAGGAATTATGAATTCATGTACAGCTAGCTTCTCTTCAAGTTGGATTTTTTTGAATTTTTTTTTGGTTGGCATATGAAGGGTTGAATTTTGAATAATTTGTTATATTCTTTATCTTCCCTATTTACCATGTGAACTAAGCTGTATATAAGTGTATCCCAATAAATTTTTCAATTTCATCGCTATCTGTATTTATAGATTTACCACAACATTGGAAGGAATTATTTGTTTCCAATACAAAATTAGTAATTATCTGGTTGGCCTAAAATTTACGAAAATAGGTTAGAGGGTTGATTCCTGTTCAGGAATATTTCCAACATAGGGATAAAATCTGTTTTCATGTTTCCTATGTCTTTTTTAGACCAAAGGTTTATTTTAGTTATAGAAGTATCCTCGATTTGATTATATGCTTCAATTGAAGGCATATTTGTAATATAAAATGATGTCGATTAATCATCTGCCAACAAAGGATAATAATTGTCTTCCTCAGGTATATCACCCGGAATAAGTATAGTCATATCTAAATGCATATTGATATAAAAAGCTTCTCATATTACATGTTATTTATATAAAATATATAATTAGAACCTCGCCTTATATCCAAGAAAACTCACTGGTAGACATTAGATAATCAATATAGGTAACTATTTTCAAAATCTAATCTAATTACACCCCCCCCCCCCTACCCCAGTTTACATAACCCTAAATCAAAATATCCGAAATAATTTACATATAATTTCATTTATTGATAAAAATATTTTAGTGCATAAGAAATGACTAATTTCCAGCACCAAAAATGATTAAAAAGATATAATTTTTAAATAAAAATATTAATATATATTCATATATTAATAATAAATTATTACTTATATTTTTAGCAAGTTTTACCAGAAAAAAAATTAAAATTTTGGCGCGAAACGGCACGAAAAAATTGATTTTTTATAAATATCATATGATATAATAACATATGAAACAAAGTGAGTTAATAATAAAATACGAAACAGCAAATATTAAAAATATGATTTCAGAAGTTATCAGTGGTCATTTTTAATGCTTATAAAATACTATTGAAAAATTATGATTCCAAGCATGGGCGCGAAAGGTAAGATCTAAATTATATTTGGTTATTTTAAATGCCTTCTCTCTGCAAGTTAATGTGAATTATATGGTTTTTTTGACAACCAAATAGTTATCTCCCATTTTATAAAGAAATCGAGCATACTGATTTGATTTATATGGGTGCACTTGCATCGACAAGAGCATCGTGGTTTAAGTTGAAGGGTGCGAGTAGGTCTACTCAGTTAAAATCCTAAGTTAAGAACTTACCACTCTTCAATGGAATCTTGGATAAACCATCAGAACATTTACCATCTGCGTTAAAAAGTCAGTCGGCACAAGGGTCGAAGAAATTCCAGCAGATTTCATGGCACTAAATATAGTGTCATTACATTTCTTAGAATCTACCTCTACATCATTTGCAATGAAGGGAGTGACGAATTTTCGATCAACAGAAGTCTGACAAAAACATGAGTATGGTATAACCATATCGCAATTAAGTCTGAGTCCATGGCATGCCTTAGCTAATCGTTTATAAGTAATAAATCAAGATTCTTGAAGGAATATGCTTTTAGAAATTCATAACCGTTTACCGATGAAGTTGAAAAGAGAAGGGAATGTACCACAGTGATTTCTAGATATAAGAAATAGGGTAATCCCAATCTCTGCAATGATGTTGAAGGAGAATTGATTAGGGAAGAGGACTTCCAAAGATCGATGATAATCGGGGCGCGTGATAAACTCAAAGGCATAAGAGTAGAGAATGTGATATTCTTTGCTTTGATGGGAAGGGTAGCCTGTAGCCAAGACAATTCTCCAAACTTAAGATTTACTATTTGTTCCGTCAATATTTTGATCTCTTGTTCGTTAGCAAGAATGGCAGGATATTGAAATGTTGATCTTAGGGCTAAGAATCTTCGGAAGGAGATGCAGTAAGATCTCATGCATTTGTTTAAGAGATAACACTGCAGGATATTGAAATGTTGATCTTAGGGCTAAGAATTTTCAGAAGGAGATGCAGTAAGATCTCATGCATTTGTTTAAGAGATAACACTTTTTTATTTAAGATACTTTTGAATGAATAAAAATTAGTTAATTTTCTAAAAAACTAGTTACAGGCTATAATTACTTTTAATGTAATTGTTACAGTTATAAAAAATAATAGGCCCGCGCTTGCCTCTAATTTTTTTTAAAAACTGAACTAATTTTGACCTTATGGCAAATGAAGGCTCTCTTGTGCTTTTTGCTAACATTTATAATACA